TCTTCCTTTCTTCCTTTCTTCCTTCCTTTCTTCCTTTCTTTCCCTGTGCTATACAGTATAATCTTGTTTATCTATTCTACATTTCTTTTTTCTTTCTTTCAAGATGACTTTGGATCAGCATTTCTCAAAGCATTTTCTGTAGAACACTAATTCTATAGGATGTTAAGTGCTTTTCTGAAAAATTATTTTTGGTTTTTCAAGTTTAAATATGTCTGAGAAATACTGAATGAAATAAGGAAAAATAGGTTTCGTTACTGTAGGATTTCTCAGAGTATTTAGCTTAAATGTTAATGTAACTTGAATATCATGTATATAATTTCCTAAACTTAGTTGACTTCTGGAAATTTCTTTTTCTCAGGATATCTTGCAGGACTAGTACTCCATGGATTTTTGGGAAACATTGCTTTAGGTAAATAGAGTAAATCTATAAGAAAGAAAACTTGAAAAAAAAACTGTCTCAGCCTTGCTACAGATAAAATATAGAATGCATGCAGCATATGTATAAATAAATCAAGAAACTTAAAAAATAAATGAGATAAGTGGGTTTATTTTAAAGATAAGTATTTTAAAACCTGAAATTTGATTGGAACTGTAAGAACCTGCAAGCGAATAGGAAGTAAAGTAGGTATCAGTTTCAAGTTGTTTCTGAAGCCCTGAGCAATACAGACTTAGACTGCCTCAAGGAGAAATCTTGTTTTTCTTCCTTTTCTTTAGATCAGTGGCCTACCACCTGCAGGCCACATGTCATCCACCTAGATCTAATTTTAAGATGAGAGTTTAAAAACATGCTTTGGTATTATTACCTCTCAAAAATACTTAGTAACATTTTAGTAGCTGAAAAGCAATACTGATTTTTCTCATTGGTGGTCTTGTAATCAATAACATATATAATTTGTGTTTTAAGAGTATATATTTTTTCCTTGTAGAATTCAATAAGTGAATTATTTTGAATGGAAAATAAACACAGTCTGCATCAGTTTTTAATTTTCCTGAACTGACATTCATTGCCAAAAAGGCTATCACCAATAAAGATCAAAGTTGTTCATCTCTGCTTCTTATCAAAAGCCCATATTTATAAAGCAACACACCTGAAGGAGAATTTTCGGTTAATGACTTGGGGTGACCACTCTTCCAGTCTGCTCAGAACTGTTTTGATGAGAAGGCTCCATCCCAGGAGGACTCTTGATTCTGGCTTCGCTGGCTTAGTGGGACCTCGCTGCCTCTCATTTGTGACCTGATAGGTGCCTGGTCCACACTTCACAATGTGGGAGACTCCTCATGCACATCTTACCATTAGAGATGTTAGACATATTGACTTGAGTATGTAATCCTTTATTGTCACATCCTTAATTGTCACTCTTGGAGGAGTAAAATCCCAAGGCTTGTCTGTGGGCTTCAGAGTTTGTTATTTCAG